AAGCTGGATGAAGGGCTGAGGAGCCACCGAGGGCCACCAGTGACCCCCAAACAACCAAATGAGAAAGTGCAGCTGTATCCGAAAATTGTCCTTGTTTAATTGGACCAGAGAGTATTCTAAAGGGTTCAGAGAAAGTTTTATGAACCCACAAGGTCGATAATTCCTCTGTGTATTCTATTTATCCTTTTCTCATTTTTCTTTTACATTACCTTCATTTTCTTTATGTATTTTGAGCCATACTATCAGCGCATTCTGTGCAGATATTCATGGATTCAATCTACTGAGTGGTGATCCTCTGTCTTTTCTGTCAGCAGGTAGAGCTTTCACTTATTAATGTTTATTATTTCTACATCTACTGGATGGACTGGACAAATTTTGTACAGACGTTCATGGTTGCCAGATGATGTATCCTTGTGACCTTGGTCATCTGACCTTTCCTCTAGCACCACCATCAGGTTGATATTTGTGGTTTTCAGTGGAATGTCTCTATTGGATAAATTGCCAAAGATTGTGGTACAGACATTCCTGTACCTCCTGGATGAAATCAAATAACTTTGATGTTCCACTGACTTTTCTGTCTTTTCTGCTAATTAGCTAACGTTAGCTTGCTAACACACTAAACTATAGAGGTGTATTGCATTCACTTAAAAAACAATGATTCTGCTCTGGTTTTCTGTTTTAATTAGTTATTATCTCATAATTCTGAGATAAGTTTTCATTAAAAAAATTCTGCTGTTATTCTGAATTAACGAGATACCTCCAGCAGGCTGCCCATGCTCAGTCCTTCTGAGGAGGGACCCAAATCCCATAACCAGCCTCTAGCCTGTTCCTGCGGGCCCAGACAAGGCCCCTCAGGCCTCTAAGTCTGACTCAAAGACCCTAACACTGGGTCTCCAGCCCTGAGACTGCCTCTAGTGAGCCCCAGTGGACCTTCGTCCCTAGCCTTCACCTCCTGGTACTCCATTAGGGAGCCCGTAAGTGTGTGTTGTTGGCTGTCCACCTGTGTCCACACACAAGGATGCTGGAAGTCACAGGACGAGAGATGACATAATAAGTAAGTGTGTGCTGTACCAATGAATAAAAGTAGATTTTCTGGATGAACTGGATGTACAAGCAGGACAACAACAACACTCTCTTGTGCCGCACAAAGCATTTAAAAATGACATTTGTAATTTGTATTGTGTCTTTTGAGAAACACTGTGTATAATCCATAGACCTCTCTGTTAACAGATTGTATTGGGACTATATAAGACTTTACCGCGGCAGACTTCAAACAAGGTTTAACCATCTGAATCTGAAGACATCTTCTGGATCCAGTTTGAGACCATTCATCTTCATCCATTCAAACAAAGTGGTCAGGCCAGCGCTTCGGTCCAGACTGAAATATCTCAACAGCTACATGTATCACCAATAACCTTTATGCAGACACTGAGGAACTTAACTTGATATTTATTATGTACATCAACGCCAAAGATGAGTAGAACTGGCTGGAATGGATTCTGGCTCTTTTATGGCCTCTTTATTTGATAGTTGGCTGTACTCACGGACAGAGAGTGACATTAGAAACAGGTTCCCCCACCTTAAACAAACTGCGAACATAGCAATTACATGGTGCATCTTACACAAATAAAAATAGAAGGGGAAGGGCTGATGCTTCCTACTTTAAAGGTCTGACTTAGCAATACAACCAAACAAAGAAAACTGTGCTTAAAACAACATTTGGGAAAAGTGCAGCTCAAACGTAAACAGATGACAAGAGGCTCAGAAGTTGATCAGATAAAGGCCAGTTCTGAAGATCACTAGATTGACATGCCTTATATAGTTAAATGAAAATGCTGCATTTTTGGCCTTTTAAATCTTATTCTCTGAGCTGCCATCTCCATCTTGATTTATGTCAGATGTTCCCTTTGGGTAAAGATGTCAAATGGTTCATATGTTACAGGAATGATCACAGTAATCAATGGTTCAAATGCCCAAATGTGCAATTCAAATGAGAAGCAGGGTGAACTGGATCAGGCCTGCAAACGACAAGTTCCCACTCAGAAGTCCCTTAGAGATAAAGTTATTCTTCCAGAAGTGTCCATCCATGTCTGGCTTCTCTTTTTATCAGGCTTTTCTCACGATGCGTCCGGTCTTCCTCAGGTCCCTCCCTCCCCTATCGGTCCTGACCGACTGGCTGCTTGCCCTCCATGCTCCCTGACACACCCGGGCGCTGTGGAGGAAGTACAGGTGATTAGGAAGAACAGTAAAGCCACACCTTAGTGAGTTTACTAGAAATGACACGTTCAGATCATAAGAGTCATCCAAATAAAATGTCAGCTTTCCTGCCAATCAACCAACATCTGACAACAAACTTTATTTCATAAGTGATTCATTCAGATATTAAAGCCAAGGAAACATATCTCATTAACTGTCAAGCCAAAGAACATTTCAGGAATGTTTCCAACCCTGTCCACATACCTGTGTGTACTTCAGGTCTTGGGCGTCTTTAATGATTTGGTTCAGGACACTTAGTTCCAATGAAGGGAAGTAATGCTACAGCGCCCAGAAAATTCTTACAACTAAACGGGTGACTAATAAAAACAAAAAAGTAAATATAATGATGACACAGAAGAAACAAAAGCAAAAAGAACCTGCTGAAATGTCTATTTTATGACATGACTTTTAAATTTTTATTTGATTTGATTTTTACAATGTGATAATCAAAGGGTAACAAAGCTCTGCTGTCCATGTTTGCATTGGTATCTGAAAACAATGAATGACACCAACCTCAGCATCAATGAATGGACTGTTAATCAGTCAGTGCCTCCATAGTTACTAATTATATATTGGTATATGATCCAGATGTTCTACTTCTGATTAAAACCAAATCTAAATCACACACACACACACACCTTGAGCGCAGCAGAGGTCCAGCAGCTCGTTTCCGGGGCTTGGCGCTTTGTCTCCGGTACTGCATCCAGCCGCAGACCAGCTCGTGCGCGATCATGACGTACAGCAGGAAGATGAGCACGGCGGGATCCATTCAGCCGCACGCGCCGCTGGATCAGAACCGAACAAAAGCGGTCCAGATGAGAATGAACGGCACCGGGCTGCAGACGGCGCGGACCCGCGGTCTTCTGCAGGATGAGGGACGATCCGTGACGATGAGGAGGAGGAGGAGAGGGTCCTCGTGCCCAAGTTGCGCCGTGTCCACTCCAACTTTAGGCACTCAGGTCGCGAGACACAAACGGCTGTTGCGGTGGGCGCTCGCAGTCCACCCATGACAACGCGCCATCCTCCAAAATCATCAGTTCACCCGAGAGAAAACGGTGATTTTCTCCCCGTCTCACCGACAACAGCGGAGAGCCGCGGTGACAACAGCGGAGAGGGGACATCGGAGGATGTTGCCGTAGAGACGCGACCGTTGCTAAGGACATGATGTCGTCATCCCCTCTTCCTAAAGATGAACGAGGCATTTGACCATATCAGAGCCACGCAGGGAGCATCCAGTAAGAGCATTGCTTTGGGCTACCATTCATCCTCTGACACAGGATGCGACCATTGATTCTTTTTTATTATGGGCTTATTTTTTACCAATATATCTGATCAAGTGATACATTTGTAAAACAGTGTATCAACACTGGCCATTCTGATTTGCTCATCGACAGCCAGTAAAGTATTATAATGAAAACATTTGAGAGCAGGGTTAGGGTTAGAGTTAGGCATGAGCAGAAAATAAATTTTTAACGGAGTAGTTATATTAATCGTAGTAGTATTAATCGCATTGATACATAACATTTCTGCACTCATTTTGAGCAAACACATTTAAAATTTCACTTTTAAGCACCTATCTAATAAATATGACTAAATATAATTATTTAACATAAAGATTATTAAAGCCCCAACAAGAAACTTTC